TGGTTCCCTGAACCCACTAAGAGTGATCCCTGTGCACAGAGCCAGGAGTAAGTCCTGAGCACCATCAGGTGTGGCCCTCCCCCAAATAACAATAAATTTGTTCTGGCAGCGATCTAGAAGGGCAAGGGCAAGCTTGTGGAATTCCCCTGGTCATTGCTGAGTTATCCATATGACACATCCGTGGTCTTCAAACATGAGTGAGGAATGATAACATTTTAAATGCTGAAAGCCGTTTGTTGGTTTGTTTTAGAGATAAACCGTTTATCTTTAATGATTAGAAGATACCAAAGAGTTTTAGTCTTAGTTCCTGGACTTCCACTTCATAGTTATTCTATACAGTTAGAATAACTTCAAGGATCAAATGATGATTTTTAGAGATGCGGGGTAGAGTTCACAAGTTTTGTTGTGGTTGATGTCACTAATTTGCTTGTAGTGTTTTTTTTGTTGTTGTTTATTTGGCATTTTAAACTTAACCCTATATGCCCTTGAGCAAGCATGAACCCCCAATTTGCCACAGTCTTCCTACCACTTCCTAGTTAATTTAAATGGGTGGGGGATGGGGAGGGTTGTGTGGTTTCAGCTATGCACTGGAGCTCAGGGCTTACTCCGGCAATGTAAACCATAGAACCGGGATTGACCTTATGCCAGACAAGTGTCTTGTGTCTTGCTTTCCTACTACCTCACAAATCACCCACCACTCTTATCATAAAGCTTCATATACTTCCTTTTCCTTTCAGCCTCGGAAGACATTGTATTTGCTAGTAGAAACTGGTTCATGTTTTGCATACACCCATAGTTGTAGTGCTGATCATATACTAATTTTCAGTGTGACTCTGGATGAATTACTAAGGTCTGTGGATCTCTTCCAACTCTGAAATTTTATGAAAACATCCATTGATTGTATTTGGACTTATGACAGCCTTTGCTCAAGGTTATTCTGTTTTAGAGTTCTTGAGTGGATATCAAATGAAATGACATTTTCTTGTGTGATTTTTAATGGTTTAATTTCTGATAACCAGTAGATTAATTAAACTTATAAATTGGGTATACATTGAAGTGAGATATAAATACTTGTCCTTTAATAAACACATTTGTTTTTCCTTTTAGCTAATAAAATTTAAATTTAGTCACATAGTTGTTCTTCTTCTATAAATGTAATAATTATAAGACAAAACTGCATCAAAAATACTCTAAATATAGTGTCTCATAAGTATAAGATTCATTTCAATATGCCAAGATTTCTAATCAGTCAGTCCATACAAATTTATTCCAAGATAAATCTCTTTTAAAATTCTATTCATAGTAATTCCCAAATTAAATCTATTTGGCATGAGACATTGAAAGTAAGCCAGAATAAAAGACTGATTTTTAAAATACAACGTTGGAAACTAATCAGGAATGATTACCAACTTCAAGTTCCAGATCCTATGAATAAGAATAACAAAAAATATTTCCATCTCTAATGAAGCTGAATAGTTTATAGGTTGATCAAAAAGACATTAATTACTAAGTATATTAGGAAAAGAGATTCTATTACAGTCTTGAACTTTTAGAGTTTCATTTAAATTTTCATTGATGAGTCAAATAAACAGTTTGAATGCATCTACCAATATATTTATTGATCCCTAGCATACAAAAGGGTATTGATGGAAACATTCCAAATGTAACATTAGGTTACATTAAAAAGATATATTTTAGAGCTAGAGAGATAGCTCGAGGGGCTGAACACGTGCTTTGCCTCCTGAAGGCCCAGATTCTATCCCTGACACAATGTGGTCCCCTCAACACCCCTGGTAGAGAGGCCCAAACATCACCAGGCGCCACTCAAAAAAATGTTTTTATTTAAAAAAAATCATTAAAATATCACTGCACTATAACCTAATACAAGTTTCTGGTGTGTATTTTTAAAAACCAATGTGTTTGTGAACACGCATATACCTCTAGTAAAAGCTCACCACTAGCAGTCCAATTCTTTTTTTTTTTCCTTAAATTTTTATTAGTGAAACACCAGGAGGTACAATTGTAAACCCACAAACTTTTGTGCTTGGGTTTCAGTTATACAATGATCGAATACCCATCCCTCCACCAGTGCCCATTCTCTACCACCACCAGTCCCAGTATCCCTCCCACCCTCCTTTCCCCCATCCCACCCTACCTCTGTGGCAGGGCATTCCCTTTTGTTATCTTTCTCCTTTTGAGTGCTGTGGTTTGCAAAAGAGAGCAGTCCAATTCTTTCCTTCACCATGCAAATGTCTACTTTGACCTGATTGAATGACACCACTTTCCCCTTCCCTTCTGGTGTCTACTAATAGGTCTTGCAGGATAACAGATTGTTCTTGTTTTATTTAGGTCATCTTTTAGCTCATCAATTTGTGTTTTTCTTAAACTATTTCTGACTGAAATAATATGATATTTATGTCTCTATATAACCTTCTTTTACCATGTATAATATCTTCCAGGGTTGATTAGTGTTATAAATGACAGAGCTTTAATTTCTTCTATTCCATTGTGTATATGTACTCCAATTTACCTAGTCATTCATCTTCTGCTGATGCACAGTGAGGTGTTTCCAGCTCTTGCCTATTGTTTTTTGTTTGTTTGGTTTTTTGTCTGGCTCATGCATTCAAAAATTACTCCCAGTGGTGCTCGAGGGACAATATGGGATGCAGAGAATTGAACCCGGGTCAGCCGCGTGCAAGGCAAACGCTCTACCTGCTGTGCTATCACTCCAGCCCCCAGCTCTTGCCTATTGTAAATAATGCTGCAATAAACATGGGTGGGCATGTTTCTTTGAATTCATGTTTTTGTATTTTTAAGGCAAATAACAGAATCATATGAAATTTCTAATTTTAATTAAAAAATATTTTAGATCCAGAGAGCTCAAAGAACTAAGGACATGTGAGAGCTGTATGTTTGATCCCTGAAACTGCATGATCCCCCAACCATCATTAGGCATGGCCCAGAAACATAAAAAGGAAAGGAAGAAATATTTTAATGGCTTTTGAAAAAAGTACATATAAATAATTAAAATACATGTATATACTCAAAGTAAAAATATGATTGTAATTTCTTAAAATGTTTATAAACATTAGGAGAAATAATTATTTAAAAATTAAAGAAATTGTGAAAAATAGGAAATAAAAAATCACCCATAATTCTACCAATGAATAAAGCAGTTTTTATGTTGTCTATTGATTTTTCCCTGTAGCTATTATGTGTATTTTATGCCTTAATTATGGTTATTGAATAATTCTATATTTTGCTGTTTTCATATAATTTTGTTCTTAATATTTTCCATTTTGTCACTGTTTATACAATATATATAGTGATGACATAACATTGCATCAAATTGCTTAAACATTCTTTACTACTGCAATTTTACCTTATTAGCACATTTAAAAAATTAATTGTAGCATTACAAATTAAAATTAAGTACCGTGGTTTTATTTCTTCATCCTGTGGCATATGCTGCTTACACTAATTGGATAGCTATGAAAGAATCCTCAGAAGTTTCAAAAAGCTTGTAAACGACACATTAAGCCAAGATAAATTTCAAGCATTTGATCGCCATAGGTCTAACAGTACTCTAACATTGTCAAAATTGCCTTCCTATAGCCCTTAGCACAATAGCTAGGATATGAAATAAACCTAGATGTTCAGTGGCAGATGAATGGATAATAAAGGTGTTGTATATAATACACAATGAAACACTACACAGCTGCAAGGAACAATGAAATCATGCAACTTGCTGCAACTTGGATGGATGTGGGGGAATATTATATTAACTGAAGTAAGTCAAAAGCAGGAGAACAAACACCAGATGATACTTATCATTGGTATATAGAAAAATAACAGGACAAGGGAATGCATGGTATCAAAGTGGGTATACCTAGATTACCTAGATTACTCTGCATCCTAGTTTATAGAAAAGAGAACAAAAAGAAAACAATGAAGGCAAGAAGAAAAAAGAGGTGGCCAGAAGCTAACAAGAGCAAGGACCAGAGACCCTTAGTACGTCAGTGGTGTAGAGATGAAGTATATGTACATGTCTAAACCACAGAACCAACAACTATGCAAGCAGGTGATCCAAATTTAAAAATATGCCTACCAAGGAAGTAGGCTGGGGCCAGAGCAATAGCACATTAGATAGGGTGCTGGTCTTGCATGCAGTCAACACAGATTTGATCCCAGACAATACATATAGTCCCCCAAGCACCACCAGGAGTGATCCTTGAGCACAGAGTTAGGAGTAAGTCCTGAGCAGTTTCTGATTTGGGGCACCCCTGGCAAAAAATGTAGGAGGCAAGCTGAGAGGTGGGAGGGAAACTAAAATCATTGGTGGACAATGATTATTTTGAAAATAATAATAAAAATAATTTTAAAATAATAATAAAAATAAATAAAAACAAAAACAGAACAGATATATTCTTGGTGGTGCATGGGGACCACCTCAGGTCAGTCACCTGCAAGGCAGACGCCCTATCCACTGTACTATCATAACTCCAGCCCAAAAGAGATATTTCTTAAAAACATTTATAAAAACTTTTTCTAATAAAACTTTTCCACAAAACATTTTTTCCAATAAAACAACATTTTATAAGCAAGTGAAAACATTATAAAATCTTCACAGCAACCTCATTCTTAGAGATAGGAGAGAGATGAGATGAAATGACCATTCAAAAAAATGCATTAAAAAATAAAATAATACTAATTCCTCACTACATACACACACACACACAAACACACACACACACAAACTCACACATACACACACCAACCTCCAATTCCCAGCCTTTGATAACCAAAAATGAAACCACAAGCTCAAAAATAATACATTTCTGGAAATTAATTGATCCACATTGAAGTTGTTCTAAGAAAGACAAATGCTGAAAAATTAAATTGAATTTTATTCTTTTATGATCATCTCTGCCAAACTTCCATGGTATGCCCATTAAACATTAAAAGGAGGTTAATTGTTTCTCTTCTTTTGCATGTCATAGGTACGAAGATGGATCAAGAGCCCAATGGTCAGCGTAGACAAGCATCAAAGTCCTGGCCTGAAGTACACAGGCTCCTCCATGGTGCATATCCCACCTGGGGAGTCCCACTTTGAGCCTTCCCTATATCAGACATGCTTGGGAGACCATGACTTCCACAGAGGAATGCTCCCTCAGGAGAAGGAGTCTTGTTCATGGGAAACTCAATCTGGGTGTGAAGTAAGTTCAGTTTTGTTCTGGATCCATTTTCCTAAAGTGGTTCTGGATCTTTGCTTTTCTTCTATGCATGCCATTGTATAACACCTCAAAATTTTAATGCACATTTATAAAGCTTCTGAGAAGTTTATAAGATTCTGGTCTTCAGTAGACCATTATTTACACTATTTCTTTTAAAACACTTTATTTGTCAGAGCAGTTTGGGACTCAGAGTATATTTGAGTGGTAGAAAGAGAGATTTTCCCGTATACTTCCTAGCCTGATAAGTGCTTACTCTTCCTCACTATATCAACTTCTTGACCACAGCAGTACATTTGTTATAATAAATGACTCATATATGGGCTGGAGTGATAGCACAGCCAGTAGAGCATTTGCCTTGCCCGTGGCCAATCTGGGTTCATTCCTCTGTCCCTCTCGGAGAGCCTGGCAAGCTACCGAGAATATCCTGCTCACATGGCAGAGCTTGGCAAGCTCCCTGTGGCGTATTTGATATGCCAAAAACAGTAACAACAGGTCTCACAATGGAGACGTTGTTGGTGCCCTCTTGAGCACATCGATGAACAACGGGAGGACAATGCTACAGTGCCACTACCCAAACTCCACAGTTTACCATTCACTCTGGTGTTATCTATCCTGTGGGTTTGGACACATTTCTTATGGCAGGCAATCATCATTAGACTATTATGAGAGTACATTCACTGCCTTAAAAATTATTTTTCCCCAATTATTCTTTCCTTCTAATTTCAACCTCTAACCCCAACCACAGATATTTTTACTATTTTCATGGGCTATCATTTTCTGAATGTGACAATGGGAGTCACACATATATTACCTATTTGGGGAAGAGAGGATGATGGGGGCCACACCTCATGAAAATGCTCATTTTCATCTTCTGCTCAGGAGTTACCCATGACAGAGCTAAGGGATCAGGTGACACTGAGCATTCAAACCAGCGTCAATCACAAACAAGACACTTATCTCCTATACTATATCGCAAACCCTGTCTACTTTTTTAAATGCTGTTTTAAGAGTGATACAGCAATAATACCATAAACTATAAATTCCTCAAAGTTGTTTGATCCACATGACGAAGGAATGCTAGCAGTTGATTACTAAGAACACTATAGCAGTTACACTGCAGTAAGACAGGGATTTGGGGAGCTGGAGAGATAATGCAACACATAAGACTCCTGCCCTACGCTGCAGACCTAGGTTTGATCCCATATGGTCTCTTGAGCACTGCTGGGAGTGATTGCTTGAGTGCAAAGCTGGGAGTAACCCCTGAACATTCTCAGGTGTGGGCCCCCTATCCCCAAAACAAACTAAAACAGACAAAGTGACCTGCTTCTTTTAATCGGAACTAGAGCGATAGTACAGTGGGGAGGCCGTTTGCGTTGCATGCGACCAACCCAGGCTGGGTTCCCTGCATCCCATATAATCCCCCAAGCACCCACAGGAGTAATTCCTGAGGGCAGAGCCAGGAGTAAACCCTGAGCATCACCGGGTGGGACCCAAAAGGCAAAAAACAAAGACATAAGATTTTTCCTACAAAAAAAGAAAATTGTGTTTATCTTGCACAAGACCAACCTAGGTTTGATCCCTGGTTCCCAAGTCCACCAGGAGTGATACCTGAGCATGAAGCCAGGAGTAAACTCTGAGCACTGCCTGCATTGTGTGACCCATAAACAAATAGAGAAAAAACAAGAGCACTATATCTTCTTTACAGTAGTTTTACTTTATAGTCTCATGTTTATACTGAATTGTTTTTTGGTTTTTTTTTTTGCTACTTTAAATTTTTTTTGTTTTAAATTTTAATTTAAGAAAATTAATGATTTACCTTGAAGGTACTAAGTTTTCAACATTTTTTAACTTGTAATTTAATTAAGTTCACATTTATTTTGACTTTTTAAAACCATTAGGTTAAATGCTTTTATGTCTGGTTTTGTTTTGGTTTCTTGAGCCACTCCTAGTTGTGCCTGCGGCTGACTCCTGGCTCGGAGCTCAGGGGTCATTCCTGGCTGACTCAGGGAGCCATATGGAGTCCCGGAAATCTAACTCAAATGGGCCGTGTTCAAGGCAAATGTCCTACCTGCTTTACTATCACTTCGGCCCATTAGATTAAATGTTAATGTTCTTTTTGATATCACTTTATGGCACAAAAACACAGCAGTAAAGAAGATGGAGTCTTCAAAGAGCAAATAGTTGTAAATTATATTCCAGTATATTATTTTAATCAATGCATTATAAGATGATTAGTGTTAATAACTCCCTTTCCTTTAATTTTAGTTGAGAGTGTTTTTTTGGAGATAAAGAATAGTTTTGCTGTTTAAAGATGAAGAACATGGCTAGAGAGACAGTAGAGGAGTTAAACCAGGGATGTAGCTCAATGTGAGAACACTTGCCTTGCATGTGAGGCCCTGGATATGATTTCTGACACTACAAAAATAATAAATACATAAGGGGCCAGAACTATAATACAGTGGGTAGGGCATTTCCCTTGCATGCGGTTCACCCAAGTTTAATACTTGGTACTCCACATGGTTCCCCAAGCCTTCCAGGAGTGATCCCTGTGCACTGCCAGGTGTGACCCCAAAACTAAATTAATAAACAAATAAACACAAAGACTGAAATATGAGTTCTTTTCAATCTTCTGATATATTGTCTTGGAATCTGTTCTTTCATGAAAAATTCCTATCTTTTGGTTTAACTTCTTAGGGCTATTGGAAGAATCAAATGAGATGACACATATGAAATTTATCATGATCTATCGGGTGCCATGAAATAGAAGTCACTGAGCTTTGTGTTTGCTGATCTGCATATTAGTTAAGCCTGTGAATCTGTAACACTAGATTGACCTTCCATGACTAGATTTGTACTTTGCTGATCTATGAACATTTGTCATGGGCATTTATTGTTTAGTTAGACACTGGCTGAAATCCAGGTTGTTCATAAAGGGCAATAAAAAGATTCTAAGATGCCAGGATTGGCAAACTGTTTCTGTTAAGGGGTAGACAGTAAATATTTCTGGCTCTGCAGACCATACGGTCTTTGTTGCTTCTATTCAGCATTGCCATTATAGGGAAAGCAGCCATAGATAATATACAAATGAATGGGCCTCACTGTGTTTGAATAAGACGTTTATTTACAAAAACATGTGGCGGGTTCACCAGCCATAGTTCGCAGACTCTTAGGCTCAGAATCTTAAAGAGTTTGCCAACTCCTTAGAGTCTAAAGAACCATTCATGACTTAGAGTCAGAGAGCGCTCCAGAAACCCCATACAGCACACAAATGTCTTGGACTAAATGTTTATTTGAAGGCCTACTATATGCCCTATTTGTTTGGAGATTAAGGAGTCAATGGGACTCTATACAAAAGGAAATAATAAACAAAGAGTTGAAGGAATTTAAGGGCACATTGAGATTTTAGTCTTACTTTATCTGAGATAGTAGCTGAATCATTTTCCCATTTACAATGGATTATCTGGTTTTGACTTGCTGGGTTTTTTCCTAAGGTTACCACAAGTCAAGAAGACACCTATATTTGAATTGTTTTTTTTTAATTATTCTTTTCTTCTTATCAGGATAAAAGTTTTAAAACTACCTTGAGAAAGCACCTCTGTTCTTTTAAGTACAGTGTAGGATGAGGAGAATGCACACAAGACTGGTAATAAGAATCCCAAATTGTTTCCCCTGACAATTCCTGATGTGGATTATTTTAGCCAAGTCACTAATTCATACTTGTCACTCAATGTCTCCTGTGGAAATTGAGATTATCCAAGCTCAACATTGAGCTTTACCCAGATGTCATTTTCTTTTTCTCTTTTTTTTTTCCAAGTAATTTTCTTAATAGGATATTTTAAAAAAAAATTGTCAATGCAAACTTCTGTGTAAATAATGTATAAAAGTCAGGAAACTCACATTCTTGTGCCAATATTTCTACAGAGTCAGTATATGAACTTAGGCAGTCACAAATCCTCTCAGCATCATATGATAAGGCTAATGTAATTAACTGGAAACCCCATCTTAGTCTGGGATCCTGGGGCTAGAATTTGATGACCTATAAATGAAAATAATTCCTTTGATGTGGAAAGATAAAGCAGAGAAAATGAGGTGAGAATGTTTTAAATAAAATAAGAGATTAAATACAAATCCTCTTTTGAATAATTGTGGTGTTTTTTTTTCTTGACTTTAAAAATAGAATATTCTTGTCACCTGGGAACACTGGTGGTGGAATTGCTGTTGCAACATCATAAGCCTGAAACAATTCTAGTATGAACAGTTTTGTAAATCATGGTGCCTTAATTTAAGAAATTTAATTTTTAAATAAAAAATGAGTATATAAAAACCAGACTATTCTAAATTCTGTTTTTAATAATCAAAAGTTACAGATTTAAACTATGTATAAAAACACAGTGGCTTTTTTTTCTTTAAACTTATAGAAATATTTTTATTTATTTTTTTTTATTTTTTTATTATAAAATTTTTTAATAGTGAGACATCATGAGGTACAGTTGCAGACTTACACATTTTTGTGCTTGAGTTTCACTTATACAATGATCAAACACCCATCCCTCCACCAGTGCCCATTTCCCACCACCACGGATCCCAGTATCCCTCCCACCCCCGTCCCCCCCAGCCCACCCTGTCTCTGTGGCAGGGCATTCCTCTCTATTCTCTCTCTCCTTTTGGGTGTTGTGGTTTGCAAAAGAAACATTGAGTGGCAATCATGTTTGGTCTATAGTCTATTTTCAGCATGCTTCTCCCATCCTGGGAGGATCCTCCCAACATCTTTATTTGGTGTTCCCCTCTTTATCTGAGCTCCCTTTTCCCCTAATATGTGTGGTTGGCCTCCAAGTCAAGGAGTAAAATTCCTGGTACTAATCTCGGCCATTCTTGGGTGTTAGTTTCCTATTCTGTTACTTTATGTTCCCCAGATGAATGCAATCTTTCTATGTCTATCCCTTTCTTTCAAAACACAGTGGCTTTTGAGCATTGAAAGTAGC